ACCATTATGCTTTATCAACCCCAAGTCTCCACTCTGAATGAGCATGGCTGTGTTCCAATAAAACTTTATTTATAAAAATAAGCGGTGGGCCAGATTACTGATCCCTGTGTTAAACTGTCACCCAGACTAGATTATTAATGTCTGCACATCTATTGCCTGCCACGTGACTACCGGGAAGCCAGATTATTGTCATCTTCATCACTGAGAGCATTTCGAGCTTTTACAATGTGCCACATGCTGCATTAAACACTTTACATAAATTTTCTCATTTAATCCTCTCAAGTACTCCGGGAGAAGAGAGGTATCCCATTTTATAGACAATGCAACTGAGGCCAGAAAGGTAAAGTAACCTGCCCAAAGTCACCTCCCCTGGGATTTCCAAACCCAGCCCCTAACCATCACACCATACTGCCTTTTGCCATCAGAGAGCTGCATCTATACACTAAGGGGCTTTGCCAGTGGGTTCGGGAGACCTGCCTCCCTGGGACAGAGCCGGAAAGGACGCCAGCCTTCTCGGCACATTCCCTTCCTCTGGGCATCCTGGCTTACCAGCTCCCTCTGAGAGTCACCTGCTTTCTTCAGTAGATACCTTACTTGGGTCAGGTGTCCCTGGCCTAGGCCCATGCTTTCTTTCAACCAATTTTGCCCTTCTCTGCACCAGTTCATTATGTGTTAATTTCACAATGTCCCTTTCAGTTTCCCAAGTGCTCAGGTGCCCCTGCCAGTGGCCACATGCGGTGTTTACCTGGACCTCCCACCTACTCCTTCCGCCTAGTCTGCTGCGCAGAGAGCTGCTTAAATGACCTCTGGGCCACAGTGATGCCCAAGGACCAGCAGGTCATCGGGCCCCAACCCCTATCTGATGCTGCTGACGCTGTCCTCAGAGAAGACAGGGGACGGACACTTGAGAGGCTTGTTTTTAAGAGCTCCTGTTAACTTTGCGTTGAGTCATGTGGGTACACAGAGGTGTCACTTTAGCAGCTTCTCTTTCTTGGCAGTGACCTTGAGACCTAAAAATGGGCCACCGGATGCTCTGGAAGAGTCACTGAGAAAACACCCAATCCGTCCCGGCCCTCAGGCAGAGCATGAATGAATCATGCATTCATTCAACAGATATTTTTCCAGCACTCAGGCCAGGCACCCCGCTAGGCATTGAGGATCCAAAATTGAACCAGACAGACAGGGCCCTCCCCCAGGAAGTTGTGTCGGGGAGGACAGATGTTTTATTAATACTTCATTATGGATGATAAGTGCTAGGTCCAACCAGAGGGGGATTTAGCTGGAAGAGCGTAGCCCAGTGTGGAGTCCAATAAATCTCACACTTCAAAAATGGCTATTCCAGCCCCCCACCCCTTGCCTACAACCAGGAGAATTCCAGGACCCGTGCCCAACACACTTAATAAATATGTCCCGATTGCTGGACATGGCTGGACACGCTGCTTTCACAGAGTAGCTATTGCAAGTATAAAAATCAAAATTGGCTGCCGTATTATTACCGTCTTCAGAAGGGGTCCAGGAGGGTGCCACAGAAGCAGCACTGCTGGACTTTAAGATACGCCCCCTCCCCAAACACACACTCTCTTTGGGAGTTTAAAACAGGGCTCAGCCTCGGGCTTCTCACGGTGTTAAACTTGGACACAGAACTGCCTGTGACTGAGAAGCAGAAAACATGCCCAGCTGGGCATCTGCAACTAATTTGAAAGACATCTTGGTTTTCAAGTAGATTCATAGTATCCAAGATAGTCACAAATGGAGAGCTCCACAGATAGGCTGGTTTCTAATGACCTGCAAATGCAGGTCAGCTGCAGCAGCTACCTGCAGCTGCTGCCCCCTCATCACCCCCTTTCCTCCTGTCCCCCTGTCCCTGCTTGGCAGCCCATAAATGCCTGCCCAAAATCAGCTCCTCCCCCCACGGCACCCCTTGCAGGGCTTCCAGATCTTGCAAGAAAAGAGGACACCTCTGAGGCCAACCAGGCTGTGACCCTGTCCTGTGCTCACTCCGATTGCTCCAAATGAGTATTTGTGCTGCCCCTGAACCTTGACCTCTGTGCACCTTTCTCCATTCATCAAGGGTTTTCTGGTGACGAAGGAGTGTTTCTAATGATTAATTAGTAAGCTGGTATTTGTAAAGTGCTAAGTGAGCGCTGCATTTTATGAGCCAACTTTATCTCTGCCAGCCTCCCTAATCCCTTCTTGTTTTCCCAGCATCTCAGGCTGGAGGGACCACCCAGTGCTGTCAGGCCCTGGAGTGTTCCCAAAGTTCACGCCATCTCCCCCATCACCCAAGAGCTCTTCCCAGCGCTCTCTCCCCTCCTCGTTTCTCCCCCCTCCTTTGCAAAGTGCTGTTGTTTTTCTTAATATTACTTCGCCCCTCCCCGAAAGACAGTTATACAAGGAGATGTGGGAGGGAGAGAAGAAACATAAGAAATGATGACTAAGTCTGCCTCTCTCCCTTGCTGCTGGAATATTGTCAGAACTGGCTCCGGCTCACCACTGCCTCTGTAAAAATCCTTCGCCGAGGGTGCGATTTTTCCTGAAGATCATTCTTTCCACGTGACCAAATGCTGTCGTGTGTCACCAGTCCAGATCGTTTCTTTACACCAGAATCTATGCTTGGGGCACATGACTCAGGGTCATTCAAAATGATTTCCTCTAATTAAAAGGCAACTGATATTTCCTGGAAGTTTCACCTCCAATCAAGCCTCATCAGTTTTCTCTGCTTTGCCTTCATTCACTAAGTCTTTGATTCTCTGAAAGATGCTTTTCCTGAAGTCCAATGGCCTCAAAAGAAAAAATAAATAAATAAAATGTAGCCCCCAGCATGCATCCCTGGCTTTGGGACAGATGGGCAGTCATTTCTACAGGCAGGGCCCAGGTCCACGGCCTCTGAAACAGGGCAGAGCACTGGGCAGCCTGAGGTGTCGCCCTGTGGTCACAGAGCCTCAGAGCTCTGCAAACCCTGAAAACCTGGTGAAAAACCAACCCAAGAGGTGTGAAAAGGGCTCACCCATCCGGGCAGCATTTCCTGAGCCCTGCCTGAGTTTAACAGCAGCAAGGCTCTGGCGTCCAGTGGCCCTTTTACAACATATAACAGGTAATGAACAGGAACCCCCCACCTGGGCGTCATGGAGCCCACCCTCCCTCCCAAGGGTTGCGTCCACACAGCCAAATAGGTAATTGACCAGGGAGTTTAATACCTACTGCTCATCCAAATAAACCAACCCCAAAGCCCAGGTTTTTCACATACATGACAGTTGTTTTTTCAAGAAGGCAAAACCCTCACGTAATCTCCTCACTGTTGAGTTTGCTTCCATGTCAAGGAGATGCAAAACATTTCATAATAAAGGCAGCTCTGTTTCACGCCGAACCATCAGAAATCATAAATTTGGGTAAAGTGAGGCTTCCCAGAGTTTTGAAAGTAATTAGCTGCTTTGTGAGAAAGACTAAGAATTCGGCAAACCCGAGCATCTACAGGCACCGTTTCAAACATTTCAATCTACACCCTAGTCCTTTACATTCATTAAATAACAAGCTATTTTACTTCTGTTGGGTCCTTCAGAGCCACATATGGGAGATGTGGAAACCTCTTTCGCAAGTAGCTGGACCGAACTGCCCAAGACTAACAGGAACTTAATTCTGAGCTTTAAAAAAACAAAATCATCTAAGCTGAGCATCTTTATTGGACTCAGAAACAATCGCACAAACAAGTAATTGAAAATTTCACATTTTCTGAATCTTGAAGGATTTTTTCCCTCAACCTCGTTTTTTAAATGCCTTTTAAATTAGTTCAGCAATGTTCTTAAACATAGCAAATTGACAAATATCAATTGAGTGTCCGTTCTGTGCAAATCACTCCGTAATAGCTTGCTGGCTGTACATTCCCGGGGGGCTCTCTGCCTAGAGCATTGGTTTTTAAGCCCCCCATCCATCTTTTCTCGGCACCTTGGCTGGTGGGAGCGGTTTCGGCACCAGGGTCCTCAACATTGTCCTAGCACTTTAGAGAACACACGCATAGTCCTGCTAGATCAGGGATTCTCAGATTTCAGTGAGCAGAACTTCCCTGGGTGCTTGTTAAAATGCAGATTCCTGGGTCCCACCCCAGAGATCAGTTTTGTCTGCCCGGATTGGGGCCTGGGAATCTGTATTATTAGGCAGCGTCTCAGCGGATCTGCGCTGGAGGTCCACAGCTTTGCAATTTTAAGGTGACAGACCAGACCACAGAGATACATTTTCTCTGAACTCTTTCCCCAGTCGCGTCTTACAAGCCTTTGGGGAGGACACCTCTCGTCTGGGGCCCCCATCAAAACGGCAGCATCACGATCTCCCTGTCAGTTCCCCTAAAGCAGAGTCACAGGCGACAGCCCCGGCCCAGCCGCTGATCTGCCAAGTCATCTCTGCGATGGTGCGATGGTGCGGGCCCAGGGGGAAAGGACCGGCCTC